ACACCGACGTCGTTAGTTCTCACCAGGAGACATGCGTTAAAAATGCGCCGTAATTCGCGCACGACGGTGCAGAGAGACAAGCCCGACGCGCTCGCGAGACACACCTCCGCGGACACAGCCACTGTTCATCTATTTCTCTCACGGGTCAACGAATGTGCAGCTACGACGAAGGCGACGGACGAAAAAAGGAACATGCGCGGAGGCGGATGAAGAAGAAGCGCGACAATGCGAGACATGCGAGCCGTAAGGGGGCGTCGAGACGCGACAGATGAAAAGGCAGCCTCTCGAAATGAAAGTCGTCAGCGACGACAAAAATGCGCGACACACACGCGGACTTGCGATCGGCGCCTCCGCGCCGCTGGAACGTTCACCCTTTGCCCGCCACCCTCGCGCGACGGCCGCGCTCGATGCACTCGTGTGAATTTGGCAAACTTAATAAAAAAAAAAAAAAAAACAAAATGCACCTCCCTTCAAATCATTTTCAATCATTTTTCGTTGATTTCGTCAAATCAACGAAAGTTGAGGTACAAACGAATACAAACGATTCTCCCTCGAGTAGCGTTGGCCGTTTTGCGATATCTCAAAAATTGGCGAGAGTACCCGCTGGACGTTTCTTGAAGATCCTGTGTACTTCCGGTTCCTTCGAGGTACAAACGATTCCCTTTCGAATGGCCGTTTTGCGATATCTTATACGCTCGCTTGCTGCCTATTCTTCCCCCTCCCTTTATCATTTTATCTCTCGAGGTACAAACAAGACAAAAAGTGGCGCAAACAGGTACGAACGAAGTACAATCGAACCGTATTGCGAATGTTTCTTTTCGATCAAGTTGGTTGGCGGGTTCGGATCGGTGCTCGATGGCGCGTTGCTAACGAAACCGTGTCCCGCAGACTGTGCGTGTCGATGAGCGGACGGTGTAACGGCAGAGTGGCACGCGGAGAGAGAGAGAGAGAGAGAGAGAGAGAGAGAGAGAGAGAGAGAGAGAGAGAGAGAGAGAGAGAGCAGCCGATGGGTCGATATCGTCTCGCTCTCTCCCTCTCTCTTTCTGCCCCTTCGATTGAGAGATGGAAGATTTCTCTTCGGCACTTTGGCTGATAACGCGCGCTTGCGTGTCTATTAGGATCGGGACGGGACTTTTTCAACGGGCAGATACGCGCGGCGAAAATGCCGATACAGGGTGGATTACGAAATATCGCGCGCTCACGCGCTCAACGGAGAGCGACGGGAAGATCTCGTTTGATTGACACACGTCAAGGAGCGAGGGAGAATCGACGATGAACGGGACTGACGTTTGATAGTTTAATCGCTTTTCGCGTACGTACGTCGGAAGTCCCGTCCTAATTTCGTATTTTTGTATCGGCTCGCAGCGGAGCTGTTCCCCCGTCGCTCCGGAGTTGCAGCCACACACAACACACACGCACGCGTGATTCGCTCTTGTCGAATATTAATTTTCTGCGCTGACAATTTCTTCGTTACGACGTAGCGCGCTCGCGTATTCCACCCCCTCACAACCGCGACATGCGGCCCCGTGTAAAAATCCCCGGCAAAACGCTACCCCGCGATAGCTCCCACGAGGCAGCCGTCTCTCTCTCTCTCTCTCTCTCTCTCTCGTGTGTTTTGCATCTGCATTATTCATCATTCCGCGACGTGATATAATCGATGAAGCGATACGAGTACGCGGAGAAGCAGTTAATAAGCGATAAAAGCTGCACAGCTGCGAGGTGAAACGCAGACGATATGCTCGGGGATGCCCCGAGGTAAAACCCGTTGAAGACCCGACTCTCTCATAGAAACTTCTCCTCGCCACCCTCTTCCCCTACCCACCTCCCTCCCTCCCTCCCTTCCACCCACCCGCCCATCCGTCCGTCTGCACCTTTATTTTTCTTACATCCCGGCTCGAGAGTATCCCGGGGCGTAGATATCGCGTTTTATCTAGCGCAGCTTGATCCCAGATTCTAAACTTTCCATATCGCATTACATGTGCGCGTGTGTGCGTATATTTGCGTATATTACACACACACACACACACACACACACACGTATAAAAGTCACAGGGAGAATGCACAGGAAACAAGAGGGTACACGTCAATAAGAATAAATACAATATAATAAATATCGGCTGTGCGGCTACGCATCAGTGCGATCCATGTGCAAAAACGTAGGGTGAGGAGAGGAGGGGGAGAGTGCGTGCGTGTAGCTCGCGGCAAACGCAATTCGGCGCATTCCATATCTGTGCCTCGCAATCTCCGACAACAAAATTTGCCTGCTGTCCGCCGCAACGCAGGTGGACGTTGTCTGGTCGAGTGGCCAGCGCGCAGCCACCCTCTCTGCCGTTCCCTCCCTCCCTCCCTCCCTCCTTCTCTCTACCCCCACAATAGCGCCGGTATCGATTATGAAATTGCACCGGATAAAGCAAACGAGAGACCGCGCGAGACACGAGAGCTCGGTACTTTCCCCTCGCGCTGTCGTGACGCGCGCGCGCGCGCGCGCGTATCGGTGCCGCTGTTGGTTACCTTTCCGATTATATCGGCTGATGCGGAGCAACCCTCCGGTAGACACACACGCGAGGACGCGCCATTAGCGCTCGTCACCCCGTGCCGTCGTGTTATGCAACGCGCGTCTTCGTCGCTTTTGCGGCGCCGGACGAGGGTGTAGTTCAAAGCCACCCCTCCTTGTCGCAATTCGTCTCTATCAGCGAGCCGAGCGCGCTAAGCTATTCTCTTTTTCTCTTTCTCTCTCGTGTGTACCGTGTCACGCGACCGCGCCGCTATAACTTCCGATAGCCGCCGGAGCTCTCACTGCTGCGGAGAATCGCATTCCCCGTCATTATTATTTAATCAGTCGCGGAAGAATCGGGAGGTAGCAGAGAGAGAGAGAGAGAGAGAGAGAAGAGAGATAATCTCTTTCAGGAGATCCTTCGACCCAACGGCACATCCGGCTTGAGAGCTCTTTCACCCTCTTCCTCTTCATCGCACGCGTTTCGCACAAGTTCGCTCGAGCGTTCATCCGCGCTCCAGCTAAAATCGACTATTCCGTTTAACGAATGCGCATATCGTGAATGAGGGTAAATCTCGCGCGATACACCGCGGGTCCCCGAACACCGGCGCGGCACGGGGGAGAATCCATCGAAATTTTCGTGCGGGCTTATCGCGCGCATAATTTCGCAAAAACGGAAACATGCTCGGCCGCGGCGCGACTTGACGCGCAGCGTCCGTAAATACAGATCGCGAGAGCGAACGCGGGTTCGTTATGGTTCGCGCGCCTCTCCGCATCGCAGTTGAACGGATTCGTATTTATGTTATATTACAGTTAATAGTTGCGTAACAAGTTGCCTATATGTCGCAGCGCGCGGTTCTAAAACGCGCGGTCTATGCGCCAGCGTGTGTATCCACAATTCGCATTGTCGTGCATCAGCGCGCAGAACGCGCGTGATTGTGCAACGCGATTGTCGCTAACGCTATTTTAACGTTCACGATATTTTAACGACGACGACGACGACGACGACGACGACGACGACGACGACGACGAGGAAAAGATTATTCACCAGCCCGCTGTATTTTTACGCCCGTGCGGTGCCGTCGTCACGTTGTTCTTAAATTAATGTCCGCCCGTAATGGCGGAGTGATTTTAATTCGAAGGTAATTTCGAGAAACCCGGAGAGCTCCGCGAGTCGCACGCAGATATATATCGCCGTCAAGACGCGACAGGATGCTGCGGGAAAAGGAGCGGAAGCTAATAAAATGATCGCGCGCGCGCGCGCGCGCGCGAGTCGCTTGCGCGCTCTCGCGATTTTCACATGTCTCTACTAAAAAGACTTCCACGGTGCGCGAGAAAAATGGTTTTAAAATATTCGCCGAGCCGGTATAACGACATAAAAACTACTTGGACTTTAGCGGCGCGGTCGAGGAATCTGCATTTCTAATTTTTATACGGACATTCACGAAATAACATCGCCCGCTCGCCCCCGCGTTGTAGCAAAAATTTGCCGGGATTTGCGGAATCTCCGTTGCGAAATTATAACGCCAGGAATTTTTTGAAAAATCTGGATCGGCGACGTGGAATTACAACAAGATGTAGGTGGCACAGTTTTCCCCCGCTGGAAAGTGTCAAAATATTTTCTCCCGCCGTGCGGCGCGAGCGCGGCGAAAGAATTGTTGGAAAAATGAAAAATTCCTGGGAGCCGCGTAAATGTGAAAACAAAAAAAGAAAAAGAAAAAAAAAAGAAAAAAAAAGAAAAAAGAAGAAGAAAGAAACGAAAAAGGAAAGCCCACGAATGCTTCCAGTTATTATCGATGCCGAGGGGGGTAGGACGGGGGAGGGGGAGGGAGGCAAGGTATGGCGATGGTGGGCGGACACGAAGAAAGTTTCGCCGGCGATTTTGCGGAATTAAAGCAAACATGCGAATTCACCGAGCGCGTCGAACTTTCGCTCGGAAAATACGGGAATAAAACGTCTCAGCTTCGTCGAATTCGCGGAATTTCGCCGCCGCTTGCCGATTTACCGGCCGCCCACCCACACGAAAGACGACGACGACGACGTTGCGAAGGCTGCTTTGCGTTCCTCGCGAGTAAAAAGGGCCGTTGCGAAGAACCCACGGTGGAACGTGTGTCACGATATTGATCGACTTCAACAAGCGGCGGGTGCCATTAGTCGTATGCTTTTTTCGCCGAATAGTACGAACTATCGCGGGGCGGAGAACTCCGGAGAGAGAGAGAGCTCTACGGCGGCGAACCTTACTCTTCAGATCGCGCCGGGGTGAAATCCCTTTCCCGGATTCAGGTCGTCGCGCGAAATGCGGTGGTAGATGCATGCGATGCAAGTAGGTCGCGAGCGTCAAGCGCGAGGAGTCGACGACTCTGCTCGCTGAAGCGAATCAATCGTCACGTAATTATTCGCTGCGACAAACAAACTCCCCGACGGGGAAGAGGCCTTCCCCCTCGCCCCTCGGGATCGATCGACACCCGTGTTCGCGCGTTGAGAGAGAAATCAAGTCGCCACTTACTTGATTCGATTGTAAACTAGCAGCTCGGCTATCTCTCGGCCCAGCCTCGAGTACAGCGTCTCCACGAAGACCAACACCTTCGGGTCTATCCTCAGCCGAGCTTCACTGCGATGGTCCGGTGCTGACGGCAGTCTGGTCGCGCCTCTCAGCGTCGAGCATCGTATCGCCGGTTCCGGTCTCGTGTCCCGATGTATCAAACTGCAACGACACAAAAGCGGCGACGACGCCGCGTTCATTCTCGCGTCATATTCCTCTCCCTCCGAACTCCCGGAGGGAGTTGCAGCAATTTTCGCATTGTATCATCGATCGTGCGCGCAGCTTATTTCGGTCCTCTTCGGACCGAAGATACTCTGGTATCCCGGCGAGCAATCAACGACGAGCTTTACATATTTATGAGACATTTTCTCCCCCATAACGCGCACGCGCGCTCACACGCTCACGCGCCGAGTTACAATTTTCGCGATAATGCCGAAACGCTCAAAGAGCCGGCGCGGCGCGGCGCGCAGCGGGCGGTAAGAATTCTTCCGCCGAATTCTTCGTAACGAAACCGCCGCGCCGTAACGAGAGCGAGCCTGCCCCGAAGAATGCCTGGCAGCTCTTTCAGCGTGTCCTTATAGTTCCTCTTTCACCGGTGGCAGACGGGAAGACGGGACCGCTACGCCCCCCGGTATGTATTCGCGAGAACGTGAATGTAACAGCGACGCGGGAATTTTCGGGCGTATGCGCGAGACTCCCACAAAGGATCCTTTAGCGCCGCGGCAACGAGCCCTTCCGGACGACCATTAGCATCGAGCATTCTACGAGTCTCTTGGCGTTTACCCCGGCATGTAAACCCCGGCTGCTCCTCTCTCTCTCTCTCTCTCTCACCCTCTGAGGTCAGACACACGGAGAGAGTGTAATTCTCCTTCTTTCTCAAGACGAAACGCGATCGGCATCTCGAGTAAAGCACGAAAATGCAATGCAAATATTTGGCATTCGAAACGTAGCAACGGGCGGACGTCGCGAGATCCGCGGTTTCCGCGAAATCGAGGACCCTCTTCGGGGAGTGAAACCGAGCGCGTTCGAATGAGAGCACGGATTATCCTATGCCCGGAGCGGAACTTTTCTCCGTACCTCCATCCAGCATTTTCTAATTTTGTTTAAAATCCTCCGGCGGACCCACTGAGTACGTAATATCTCGTAATTTGTTTCGCGCGCCGAGGCTCTCGCCGAGAGGAACGGCGGCTTTTGCCGCTACGGATTACGTCCCTCGTCGTTAAGCCCCTTTACGCTCACGTTTGTCACGTGGATTCGGCGGTGCATTATCGGCGCATGCATCAAATTAGTACGTGTCCGGTAGTCCAAGCTTCTCGTCACAAACCACCGAAAACCGGCGGCTTTGTGAGCGAGGCAGAATAAGCCGATGCCGAAGCCGCGTCGACGTACAAACAGAGACCGGCCGATTTTCATAATGGAACAGCAACGACAACTATTACGCGCGGCACACGAATCCGCGGAATTATTAATTGCAACGTCAACGGGATCAATTGTTCCCGTAATTGATACCTACGTGATGCCTGCGTTTATAACGACCGCTGACGCGTAAAAACGTCCGGCGGCGCACACGGACGTGCATAATGCAGCGAGCGCCGAATTACGTCGGAAATGAGTGGTACTGCAAACGCGCGTTCCAATTAACGCGATACCGTGTGTCGAATGGACCGCAAATAATGCGACGAGCAGCGAGGTATCTCGAGATAAAGATAGACAAGTACGGACACGTCACAAGGAGACGCCTCGCGCTTCGATCGCGCGGCGTAACGAAAGCGACGAAATTAAATACAACGTTCCCACGTTGTTTAACCACCTTCCGCCTCCCGAGGGATTTCCCTCCCGTCAGGAGGGCGCGCGAAAGGGCGCGCTTAAAAACACACGCGACTTTCGAAATCGATGGAAAAAGGGCGTGTGAGCGAACGAGCAAGAGGAAGACCGCGCGCGCGCGCGAGAGAGAGAGAGAGAGAGAGAGAGAGAGAGAGAGAGAGAGAGAGAGAGGGAGAGGAGCCAGTTGGCCACTACTGAATGGAAGCGAAACGGCGGATTATCGATGATGTACCTGCGCGTTTCGCAGCTCTTATCCGCTGCGGTTTACAATTTATGCACATTAGGCGTCGCGTCAGTAGATATACACGCAGGGAGCACGGCAGCGTTTCGGCCGAATCAACATTTATGCGCTCTCGCAACGCCGGTTTCGCTCGTTGTTTCGGTATGTCTGTTGTAGCTAAACCCGGAGCAAATATTTTCCGCATAATGCAATCGCAGATTCGAGTGTAAACCGCGTGTACCTTCGTGCCGCAATGCTCCCGACAAGCAGCAGCGATCAACCACGCCGCGAAACGCGGCGTCCGACAAAGACAAGGTGCGTTCTCTCTCTCTCTCTCTCTCTCTCTCTCTCTCTCTCTCTCTCTCCCTCTCCCTCTCTCTCTCTCTCTCTCTCTCTCTCCTCTCTCTCTCTCGGGAAAAGGAGGAGGGGGGAGGGGGTAAGGGGAGGAGGGAAAATTGCGTTATTTGCTTGGAATCTCGATATAATTCGCGAAGAAACGCACGACGTCGGTCGATTTCCGTTTATCAAACTCGCGCGCGGTTTCATTTCTATGCGCTATGCACACGCGTCTGTTGGGTGTGTGCTGGGTTTCGCAGTCGCTTTCACGAAGATATCGAAACGTAGGAAACAGAGGTATCGATCGCGACATGCAGCGTATGCGTATGCATACTCGGCGGTGCATCGAATGGCTCCTCTGCATTTCATGCGCGGGTTATCGATGCAATATTCTTGACGCTTCGCGTGCGCCAAAGTCGTTTATCCGCACACAAGCGGATCATTCGTAAGCATCGAAGATCTGCAGCCCCGCTTCATAGTCACGGAATGCGAAAGGTAACTCGGTGTGTGTGCGTTTGCCGTGTGTACTGCGTGTCGTTAAAGTACCAAAGTGGCTTCGTCTCTGCTCCATTAGACGCGGCATTTAAATGCGACTCTGTCTCGCTGTCGAGACGCAGAGCGCATATTTATTACAATGGCGCATCGATCAGATATTTTATTCGTGTCTGAGAAAGACGGGGAAATAAACAGCATTGGTCTTTCCTGCCCAATCCCTGCATCGTCTCCCTAATAATACATCGAATCTCTGTCGAGACCGCAACCACATTGTTATTTTCGACAAATGAATACGATCGCGACGATATGTTCAATCAGCCAGGATGACATCCATACACACACACACACACACGCACACACAGACACACGATAGATATCGACTGTCGCGAATCGTTCCGCGGAGCTGCACAATTCGAAAAGTTTGATTATCGCTGTATCTGACGCCGACCACAAAACGGGTCTCAACGTTAACGGGGCTCTCTCTCGGCGCGCATACGCGGCCGTATAACGTGGCATGTAAAATCTGATAATACGCACGTGCGTGTCCTCATGCGGAAGCTTTCAAGTACGCGGGTAATCTGGAACGGGGCAGATATACGACGCATCATCCTCTATCGCGCATCAGTCGCGGCCGCATGGCCCCCCTCCCCCCCAAGTAAGCCTATTAGCGCGCGCGCGCGCGCGGGCTTATTAGAGGATGCCATCTGACCCAAATTTCGGCTCCCTATCGGTAATGGGCGCGTACCGGCGCGCATATCCTTAATGCGAATTTACGATAACGCCGCTCGGCAGACTCTCGCGAGGCTCGCTTCGCCCCGCCCCGCCCCGCCCCGCGAGTTGCCCTCGACTTCCGGCCGGCGAAGATCCTCGGAATCTCTTCCTCGCGATTGTTCGCCGTAGCTATCCGTTCGAACGCTCTTGTTATTCAGCCGTTATGCTATCGCGAACGCTCGGGTGCTTCGCGATGATCGCTTCGCGAGTGAGCGGGCGCGCGGCGCGCGTCGAGCTTTCGCCTTCGCGTTTGCCTTGGCGAGCAAACAGCAGGTCGTACCTTCGCTCGAGACGAGATCGCGCAAGTCGCGCTTATCGTCCGCTTCGTTTCGCGCGGCCAACGACATGGGGATGACCGCCGATTCTGAGAGCGAGAGACAGAGAGAGATTCACACGTCGCGACGAAAACACGCGCGAAAGATACGCTCTCGCGAGTTTGCATTTCCCGAGAGCTTCGCCAGCCAAGACATGTGGCCGGGTGGTCGTTCACGCACTTGCAGCAACTCGAGCAACGCGATGTCAAAGTTTGCAAATGGCGTGACGAAACGGCGTGTGAATTGATCGACACTTTGATCGTCCTGGATACGAGAGGTTCGATCAAACAGTAACGAGAATTTGGAAACTGCGCGCGCTGTATCTTGTCTATTCAGTCGATTCTCTTTTTGTGTGCTGGTAGCGCTACCAGTAGCACGTGCGTGTCAATTTTCGGCCAGCTGCGACGCTTAGTTTGTGTGTCTGGCGAGCGAACGAGAGCAAGACGTACTTCAGTGTGTTTGGCGATTTTTTGTCCGGCGAAATCAGTCGGGATCAGAGAGTTTGTCTGAAATTTTGTGTTAAGGACGGAATTAAGTGCAGCGAAGCGGTCGAAATGTTGAAGAAGGCCTCTGGCGACGATACCATGTCACAACCACGAGTTTGTGAATGGTACAAACGCCTTCAGGATGGCCGAGAAGACATCGAAGATGACTGGCGAGGTCTGGGCGTCCCAGCACGTCCACCAGTGATGAAAACGTGGAAAAAGTTTAAGAGATTGTGCTTGCTAATAGAAGAATCACCATTAGAGAGGTTGCTGAAGAAATAGGAATTTCATACGGCTCTCGTGCGAGGCGATTTTTACTAATGTTTTGAACATGAAACGAGTGGCAGCAAAATTTGTTCCGAAACTGCTGAATTTTCAACAAAAAACAGCATCGCGTGACCATCGCAAAACCACCTTATTCCCGAGACATGGCCCCCCCCCTGTGACTTTTCCCACTTCCCAAACTCAAAAGGACACTCAAAGGACAATGTTTCTCAACAACAGATGAGATAAAGGCGAAATCGCAGATACAGCTCAAGACGATACCTGAAGAGGCGTGTTCCACCAGTGTTTCTCGAACTGGAAACTACGCTGGCACAAGTGTACAATATCACAGGGGGACTACTTTGAACGAGATGGGATAAACATTGAAGATTAAATAAATACTTTCCGAGAAAATTAAAAATTCTCGTTACTTTCTGATCAAACGTCGTACGA